CCCAACCAGACATCTGTAACACCCTCCCTCGCAGCAGGCGGCACGGTCCCCGGGGAGATGAACTCTAAGCAGCCAGCAGCATACCTGACTCAGCATTTGTTTTCTTTTTGTCAGAATCCTATCCAGAGTCACCAGCACTAGCTTCCAAGTGGAATTTTCAAGAACATGTGGCCAATTCTGTTTGCATGCTCTGGAGCTGAAGAGTGAGGGACAGAGCAAGGTGTGACGTTCGCCCCAGGGACTATGCTTTCGTGCCTGAGGCAAACGCTTGGCCAGAGTTCTGAAGAGGCCACGCTGTGTGGATGCGTTTGATGAGTTCATCTCGCATCGAGCGAGATGACAGTTTTGGCTTGCGTCTGGATAACAGATCTTTTTCCAAAGCTTGCAAGGTGTATAGAGATGATGCCTCCACCCACCATCCGAAGGGCACTGATTTGTTTCCAGCAGGGTAAAAGCTTTACACCAAATCACTCCCATGATCTCACTTAGCCTTTCTTATAACCAGTTCCAGGAGTCATCTGGGAGCTGGCCAGGGTCAGAAGTAATCTTTGAAGGAAAGGGAAATCAAAAGAGATCAGGATAGTTTAGCTCTACCGCCAAATGTCACCCGCTCTTCAGCCAAATGACATTTCAGTACCAGCCAGCTTGTAAATGGCATGGGTTAGGTGACAGTTATCGTCCAGACAGAGATTTTTCTCTGAGTACAGAGAAAAGCCAAGGCCACTTGCAAATATGAAGGCCATGCTTCTGAAGTAGTTGTCTTGTCTAATAAAGGATGTAATTATATCCCCATATGAAATTTGGATGAACTGTGAATTACAAAGTGCTCTGGGTCAAGCAAGGTGGGAGAGGAGAGAAGGCAGGCTGGGGAGAGACCACGTGGTTCACGTCCTTTTCAATGACCAGATTTCCATTCCTGATAACAGGGAGTGCTGGACTCAGAAACGGAAACGCTGACACTTTCCAGACCCAATTTAAAGTTGATTTTCCACAACAGTTTGTATTTTTATAGCCCCTGCTTGCAACCGAGGCTCAAAGTGGCCCTTGACACGTCTGACCAAGAGAAGCTAAAGATTTAAGGACCAAGGCCATATGGGAAGCAAGAGTCATATCCAGAAAACCAATTTTTCTTCATCAAGTGACTGCCCGCTCCTCTTCCTGAACCTGTGCAGCTTCATGTTCTTTGGAGAATTTACACGTTCAAAGGTTTGGTTTTTTGACTCACCTTTTCTGCTTTCCTTCCTGTGCTCCGTGTAGTATTTGGAAAATGGAAAAGCAGTGCGCCTGGGGTTTGACACCTCTGCCTGTAGCCAGCCACTCACGAGTGAGCCCAGGCTCACAGGCCAGGGTCCGGTGTCCCCGTCACGAGGGATCTAGTGATGACCCTGGATCCCAGAATCAATGAAAGCAGGTTTGGGGCCCCAGTGCTTCCCATGGGATGCAGATGTGGTCGGCTTTGCTTTCCCTGCATTTGTGGAGGTGACATGGGCAGAGATCATCCCAACGAACAGATGAGCTTCAAAGTGTATTGAATTTGCCTTTGAACTATGCTCTCCGATTTCCACACTCCCTCTAGACACTGCACTAAGACGAGCATGAGGAGGAGGGTGACGCAGCAGGGACAGGGTCCTGGGGCTATGTGCTGCCTCTGCAGGAGGTGGGAATGGAAAATGCTGGAAGGCAGGCTGGACGGCTGTCTGGATGGTTCAGGGAGCTATGTGGAGACGAAGCTGTTGGTGTGTGACAGCGTCTCTACCGCTCGTTATCAGGTGTGAGTGACTAGGAAAGCTTTTTCCCTGCTCTAGAGTGAATTTCTGCTCCCAGTTACTTCAGCGAAACCTTGGGCAAAAGCCCCTTCTTTGCAAGGAGTCTGTAATAGCCTCTTCTGTTATTAGAAGTGTCTGCAATGGCCTTGTAAAGGGCTGCTAGGGGGCAGGACCTAGGAAAAAGGGCACAGAAAGGAGGGGCGCTGGTTATTTCTGCAGACTCGCCCCTGCCCGAGGACCCCATTTTACCAGTCACTAAATTCTTTCAACAAATCTGCTGCCCCGGTTCTTCCTGTTTCTTGATGGGCTAAAAGGAAATCCTGGGGCAACTCTGGGAGCAGTTGGGAGCTCCCAAGGCTGCCTCTAGGTTTGGACTTGGCCTTCGGGGGCTCATGAAGTCTGTGGCCACCCCTGCATGTTGCTACTACATCTTATACTCCAGAGACCCAGGAGCGCCGGCCAAGTTTTTAGAGGCTCCCAACTACGTCAATTCTGGCCAGATCTGCAGATGCTCAAATCCGTCCCCACCCACTCCTGATCTGTGCAGGCCACAGGGAGCCTGATTTGGGTTCCAAGTACAAGTCTATGGTTCCAGCACTGCCCACGGCACCCCAGAGCTGGGGTGGGAGCTGCAGGGTTTAGCAAAGGCTGCTGGCTAACAACCAAAGGCCCAGGCTGCCTCGGAACACAGCATCAGGCCCCTGCACAGAGAAAGATGCAACGCACCCTTCATCTCCTCCTTGGCATCTCCCCAGCCCTTCGAGAGTGAGCTAAATGCCACACTTCATCGACTGCTCAATAAGTCGTGTGTATTGAGTTGACAAGTGTATGCACAAGGGGCATATGAGAACTGTAGAGAAAGAGGGATGAAAAGAGAAAAACAACAAACAATCCAAATCAAATGTTAGGGTTAATGCATAAGGAGAGGACTCCACATCTTTCGCTCCTGGGTACAGCCAGGCTGGTTCACCCCTCTTTCGCCCCTGGGGAGGACTGCTCTCCAAGGAAACAGGCAGGAGACGAGCCAGAACTGGAAAGCCCTTTCTTTATGCGGTGCTGACCTCTAGAGGCTTCCAATTAAAAAGCATCCCAAAGGTCCGACTTTACTGCTGGTTTCTACACCCATATTGCTATTGCCATGTTTTCCTAGAAAATAAGGAAAAAGTCTCTCTGCTCCTTTACATGTTACCTAATAGGATACGCCTACCTTTTTTTTTTTTTTTGGCTGCCTAATTATAACTCGCCCAGATTTTTATAAATGTCATTGTTTTCTCTCCAAAAAGGAAAAAAAAATGTGGGCCGGAGATAGAGAAAATATTTTTAAATGATTTGCCTATTACAGAACGGGAGAGGAAAAGTTATAGTGCCGGCTATTTCAGGACACATTTCTTGACTTTGCAAAGTGCCGGGTGGCCAAGCCTGCCAAAGGGGGAAAGGAATGTTCGCCCCAACTCAGCAGGGCGGTGGCAAAAGGATCTGCCTCCCGCACGAGGAGCTTCCTGCACGCTCATGGGAGCTGCATGTTCCAGCCCTGGGGCTCGGTGCAAACACTGGGCCCCTAGGGTTTTGCTTTGCCTACTTTTTTTTTACTTTAACCCATTCCTGTCTACGAGCACTGGGGACAATGAGGTGTCTCACCTGGTCAGACTTCACTATGGAAATGAGACTCACTTCTCAAACAAACGTGATTGTTTGTTATAGCCCTAAGCAAGCACCCCACATTTTACTAATTTGGTGTAGCTTTTAACTCCATATTATTGATCACAACGAGAGAAGGGAAGTATTGGAAGGCAGGAGAAAGAATTCAAGGATGTCAGCATTTGGGCTAATAAAACACACCCACCATTTTGGCTGAGGTCTTTTATTTCTAAAAGGGATCCTAGGGAAGATGGGTTGAAAAATCGCAGAAATTCAGTTTTGCCAATAGCAGGTCATCCAACCCCAGTTTCATGAGACAGTACTTTCCTTATAAACTTTGCTTCTCACTGTCCCTACCCCCGCTAACCAAGACAACATACCTTCCCACACACAATGCTAGTGCCTGGAGGGCACTCTGAAATGAGTCCATACTCATTTCACAGATGAGGAAATGAAGACACGCCTCCCCTCCCCCAGCCAGTCAGGGAGGGGGCTGCACCTGAACCTTTTCCCCAGTCCACCGATTTCCGAATGATTCTCGGCCAAGGGGAAATGTAGGCCTTTCAGACAGCCAGTCCCTCACTTAGATAAAGAAGCCAATCTGTAGTTTATTTTTTTTAGGCGAGGCAACCCTTGGTTGACCTCACAGCTGCAAGGACTTTGTCAGCTTTTACAAGCCTTATTTTTTAAATGTTTTCTGCTTACAGCACCTGGTCTCCCTAGGTGGTCTCCCATCCAAGTACTAACCAGGCCCGACCTTGCTTAGCTTCCGAGATCAGACGAGATCGGGCTTGTTCAGGGGGGCATGGCCGTAGATGTCAATTTGTATTTTAAAAAGTGTATCTGTGAGAGTGATCAACTAACAGTAACAAAGGGGGACCATAAGAAAGGCTTTCTCTGGGGAAGATCATGCCAACATCCAGCTGAGATCAGATTCGGATTGAATGGGTTTGGAAGCTTGCAAACAGCCCAACCCTCAGGCACGATCTCTGACAAATGCCCCCTGAACCACAAATGAAGGTATCTAAGATACACACACAGGCCTCTAAGCTGTGCCTAGCAAGGCAATCTCCAATCAACTTAACAATGTATAGAAACGTATTCGCTTGTGGAAAGAAACTTTGCTCTTAACAAAATAATGGGATTTCGACCACCAACTTCCAGATTTAGTTTGTAAACGCCACTGTTTACTGAATAACAGTAACTGGGAGGAGAGTCGTGGGGAGATGGTGTCAGTGCCATCATAGAATGACCACAGATTTCTAACTGGTGTCACAAAGGATTCCTTACTGGGATAGAAAAAAACAGGGTCCTCAGAAACAAACCTCAAGTACAAGTTTGAGGAGTGGAAAATTACTGAACACCAGCTCCAGCATTGGAAGAGATACGGTCAGGTCTCAAAGCACGTCGGTTATTAACGTTTGAATCGTATCAGTGGTTCCTATAACCACGTCCTCCCTCCTGTCCCCGTAGCCATCCCGTCATCACCGGCCTCAGCAACCACAAAACGAGCCATGGCCCTTGTCCCTTGTTTCTCGGTGTCCTCTAGGACCAGCCGTGCGGGAGGGAGTAATAAAGAGGCAAACATCACCCGTGTCTGGAAGGCTCTTTAATAGCAAGCGTATGGTAATTACATCGTTGGATGAGATCCTCACTCTTGGGGGAGGGAGGACGGAACAGATGTGAACAAGGTTCAGTTTAGGATTTACACTGCTGGAAGCATCTAACAAAGGGCAACAATTTTTGGCAACCCATTTCACAGTTTTGTCATTTACAAGAGATTTCTTTGAAAAGAAATATAAAGGCAAAGAAAGCATACACACCCTGCATGAAACATTTTTTTTTTTTTTTTGCCTAAAAAACGCCCCCAAAACTGTTCCTTGCTTTTGCTTCTCATGTAGATGGCCAAACTGCTTTCACGCACACATGAAAACTGGTTCACAGATAGTGTGATTTTTTTTTTTAGAATTGACGATTTACTTTCTCCCCTAAAAAGCTGACATTTGTACAGCGTACTGCTTCACATCTTCATCTGCCTAGCTGTCGGAAGGTACTTAAAGGAAAAATAAATCTTAAACAGAAATGAAACAAAAGAAGAAAACAGGGAAACGTGGTTTTATAAAGAACAGACTGTCAGCTTTCTCTGTGGTACTGAGCAACGTGCATACACAGTTCTCAGTAAATTAAATATTTTTATGTGGCCTGATGCATGCTTTTAACTGCTTGTGCCTCTACAGCTTTAGTGATTTCGATGGGCTTTCTAATATGAAATGTTCACAGGTCTTCTATTTTTGTAATCCGAATTTAAATAAAAATATCAAAGACAAAATATATTATTTAACAATCTGCCCAATGAACATGAGCTATAGATATTTTGTCATGGACACCATGTTGCCATGGACACCAGAAGCTACTGGCATCCTGGCAAGTTTTACAATTACTCTGTATAAAATCTAAAAGACTTTGGCCTTTCATGTCATACCTGGTATCCCAAAACCAAAGTAACGGATTGCATCTTTACGGAAGAGGATTAGTTTTTAATTCAAAAGAACTGTAGGCTTCTCTGGTAATCTGAAGATTAAGCAAGTGGCAATAGCATGTCTGGAGTTAGCACTCACTATCGGGAAGACGGATCTGTGATCCACTTGAGTTTTAACTGTGCTCCTTCTACAACCCTGAAGCTCGGTGGAGTAGGTGGGCTCTGCCCGCTGACCCTTGGGCGGGGCACTCCTGACCCACGGCCTCCTCTGCAGCCGATGGCGAGATGGAGCTTGGTTCACGGTCAGCCTGCCAGGTGACTGCAGTCCCTCTCAGACCTCTCAGCATTTTGGAAAGACAGCCTTCTACGGCTGACAGCTGATTTACATACAGGATAAGAACTCCACCAGATTTGCGAGACACCCACTGTCTCCTTGGCTGGGGGGCATTTTCAAAGCCACTCCAAGGACAGGCCTTGCTTCTCCACATGCGGGCAGTCTCTGAGGAAAGCAGGCTCCTGGTGAGCCAGCCATGAAAATAGTTTTCCTGGACCTTACATCATAACTGCCTCTGGGCTTTTATTTTATTATTTTTTTTAAGGATCTGACGCTAACTCTCCCAGTCGCCCTTACTCGTCACGTCCCACCCCAGATTAAGTCCCGCCTACGCCTCCCTGCCTCTCGACCCATGAGAAATCGGATTTGTCCATATCAGTTTCCCGATGTCTCCATTTTAACATGCTGGCATCACAGCTCCCTTAAATCCACACACTTTGTGCTCTCACAAAGCAGAAACGGTATTTAGGGATGCAATTGTCCTAGAGAATGGTTTCCGCTTACATGTGAAAAATGACGTAACTACGAGAGGTTTTCATTTAAGTCCGTTGGAAATCTAACTCTGGCACCAGGGCCCAGGGCAAATTCCTAAAGAAGAAACTTTTTGTGTCCTAGTCATGGAAGAACAAAAAGGACCACATGCTGCCATGAGCCTGGGGACTGGAGCGGACACGTCGGTGTTAACTGAATCCGGAGTGGTGGCCGGCACTGCGTGGGCTATCACCTCCCTCCCTGGCTCCCCCATTCACTCTCCGATTCCCCGAAGCCTGCTCGGTATGATTACCAGGCAGAGAGAAGTCACCAAGTAGTCAGAAAACGTCTCTGTGATTCATTCACTCAAAACCCAGGATCAAGGTTTCGTAATGTTATCACAAGCATGATTTCACAGCTGGCCCACGGCGATCAACAAGCAATCACTCCCCTATTCACACACCCACCCACACCCACACACACACACACACACACACACACACACACACCCCTCACGCATTCTCTCTCTACTAGATGAGATGGCTCATCTTTCACTCTCTTCCAGTTATTCTTCATGTAAATTTTCCCCTCTCAGTTAAGTTAAACTTATTTCGCTTCCCAAGCCACAGTCAGGGTACAAATAAAACCATGCCTTCCATGGGCAGTGCGTGTACAACTGAGACAAGTAGGTTTTCTGTATCTTCTAGGGCCTGACTTTATCCTCCTACTTAAGGAAGAGAATTTCATCAGCCCCTCAGGATCAGGCCCCAGAGGGTTTGGACCCCCATAGACCAACAGAAACAGGTACTGCTGTGGCCAGGACCCTACGACAGTGAGATTCAAAACGTCTTTCCTTCTCATCGCCGTTACGGCTTCCTCGACTGTTGCTCTTCACACCCACACACATCGTAAGGCAGATATGGAAGAACAGTAGTTAAAGCAGGAAGGGCAGACATCCTTCGTTTCAGGGAAGTTAAGTGGCATGCCCAAGGTCCCGCGGTCACTGGCAGAGTCAGCACTAGAACGCAGGTATCTCTCTCACCACCTGGGTCGATTCTCCTCCCCCTGTGCAACGCTGCCTCCTGGTAAGTGGGTTTATATGTCTGCTAAAGTCAGGACTGGTCCAGCCATGGAACCTTTTCCGAAACAGAAACCACAGGCTGCCTGACTCACTGACCGACCGGGTGAAGGGAAGCTCTACGCAAACTCAGTGCCACTCACGACCCGAGCGTGTGTGCACGTGTCAGCGAGCACTGGCGGGCTGCGCACACAAGAAAGGGAGTTTTAGAGGAAAAGGTCCGATTTGCTAATGCCTTTTGGAGTTTTGCCATGAAAATAAGTAACAGACGGCGATGCTGTCCCCTACCCCTGGGGCCGAAAAAAGACCAGTTTCTCCTCAACCCACTGAACTGGTGAGCCTACCTCAGCTCAATGTTTGGGTATAGAGAACATTAACATAATAATTCTGAAAAGCATTCGGTCAAAGCCTAAACACTTTTTTGATAAAATACATTTTATATTAATGTCCATTTCATTTTCAAACATATGCGAATTTAGGTTTTAAGCCCCTGCGTATAAAATTCCGGTTTACCTTTAAATGGAGCAAGCTAGTCAAGCTTCATCATTTCAGTTCCAGAAGTCATTCTTTTGGCCTATTGTGTTAAATCAAAGGTGACCAAACCAGAGTATTATCTATAGAAGGTACAGCTTCCCAAACACCTGTGCTCAGGTACAGAGCCCATCAGAACAGAGGCGAGGGAACAAAGCACGGAATATATTTGCCCCACTGGATAAAATATCAAGGTTTGTTTTAATGGGCGTCTTGGAAGGAAATTCATTTTACTTGGAATTAACCTTGAATATGTTTTTCCAAGAAAAGAAAAAACATGGGTACTAAATCACCAATGGAAATCACTATATTGTTTTACCCACTGACTTAAAACTGCAGTACACAGTTTGACCACGTGCAGCCACGCTCCTCAGAGGACCAATTAAACAGAAAATGTTGAGAGAATCGGGTTTACACCAAGCCTGGACGATACACGAGACTCCCATAAGCTCTGTGGCCTCTGCTGCTGCTGCTTTTTATTTTTAATCCAAAACTCTGACAACGAGCACGCATGTTAAAAACATTCCTACCCCAGATGCTACATTTAGTCAAGTGAAGTAAGAGAGGCATTCGGCATCCTACATTGTTAGAACCAGAGATGCAGAGCAGTCCAAGAAAATGCATGTTTTAAATCAGTCCATGTTAGCAATGCAAAGGATTCCCCTACAAGCATTTGTTGGCCAAGTGATAACAACAGTTGTTCCTGTGAGTTGTCTGAGAATTCTGATCACTGAAACTTCTCCTTTGAACCAAGTGAACCCACGATGAAAAGATTCCCACTTTCGTATCGCTTTAAAAATTCACAATTAGGTTCCTCAAAGCACTTGATTACAATTTTTCATAAATCGTACAGTGGGATCCTTTTCTTGACTTTTTTTTTTTTAAAGAATAAAAGACAGATTAAGAAAGTAAAGAAGGATTCCATCATATTCTCAAAATTTTTTTATCCTGGTTTATTTTCCCATTAAATTTATCTATGGCTTCAAAGTTGATGTGGCACTTGGATTCTGGATGTTTTCATGATTTTAATAAGTTGCCATCTCATTATAAATAGAGAAGGTAAATGTTTCATTTCATATATGGGACGGTTTATAAACATTTTAAAGAAACCGATAACTTATGTCACCCCATTTAGATTTCCCACTATTAAGACTTTACAAGTGGCTTTGGAATTAGCATGTTTTAAAATAACTGAACATGCAAGTATGTCTACACTTAACCATGAACCAGTGGCCACAGACCTAGGTAACTCGATAATGGCAGCACACGTGAAACAAAGGCTTCTTTGCCTCTTTTACCCTCTTCATCCAAAGCTAAGTGATTATCTTTTTCTGCCCTTGTATTTGCACTTGTGCAATTTAATGACTAGATATTAAAACTCATGCTTTATAAGCAAAACCTTTCACTTACGACACTTACAAGGTACATAAAAAGTGCAGACTGCATTTCTTCTCTGCCATGCTTTTTCCCTCAGTCACGTCACCTGTGAGGACTCAAAACATATCCTTCATACATTCAGAGTTCTCTACATTCGAGTCAGCGAATGTTTAGTTCTCCAACATAAACTCAAGAGAGAACTGTCAGCCAGGAAATGGACTCTAAATTCAAAATGGCCAAGGGGACCAGACAACTCCATAGAAACCCACTGAAACGGGAGTAAGATTCAGGTCACTTCTGAGCATCGCTCATCCCAGATATTTTGTGGTCACTGAAAAGGTTATTTCATCTTAATTTAGATGCTGGGAGTCAGACGTCCAGTTTCGAAGTACTAATGCAAAATGCTAACCCAGGAGCACATGACCCCACCTCGGGTACCACGGGGCTCACTCGCCTTCTCAGATGAGCGCCCTGGCAAGTTTACTGCTGACTGACCCCCATTTGGGGGTGGTCTGCTTCTGGTTCCTCCTCTTCCACGTCTGCACTGTACTCTTCCAACGCGTCGTCATCTGCATCCGGAAGCCCCAGTAACTACAGGGGAGAGAAGAGAAGCAGCTGTGAGCACCAAAGGGCCCCAGGCAGGAAGACCGCCAAAGCCGTCCGATCCAAATTGAACAGCACTGGACAGGACTTAGAGAACAGTAGCTATGGATTTCCCTCAGGAGTCACTACCCTCACCAGTGTGTTTATACACGTATGAGAAGGAAATATCGATCCTTCAATGGATTGGTGCTCAAAGGGCTAGGTTTTACTGGGGAGCTTAGAGATTCTCTACTTTTAAGTATCAAAACATGGCACCACATCCCACCCATGCACAAAAATATAATGTCTTTGCACACACGCTCACGTATCTGGGATTTAGCGGTAGGACGATGGACAGTGCTGACTCTCCCACCGCGATGTCAAAAATCCACTCCCCGGATTTTCTTATAACACACGTATAGGAATGTAGAAACTACCGAAATGTTTGACAAAATGGTTAAATAAATTATGGTGCATCTATAAGACGGAATCTTATTTGTCCACTTAAAACAGTATTTTTAATAATCTACTGATATAAAAATATGCTTGTAAGTGTAAAAAGAACATGATAAAAAGTTTTCATTATGATTCAAATTTTTCTTAAAGTTTATACATAAATGTATAGAAAAACAAATTTCTGTGAAGGACATCCAAATGTTAAGGGTATTTTATATTCGACATTGTAATTACGGGTAAATGTTTTCTTTTTTATTTTTTCGTATTTTCCAAACGCTCCATAATCATCATTAGAGAAATTCACAATAAACACACAGTGCTTTTCTTAAAGCACCGACTGGTCTTTGTGGTTAGAAACTGTGCGTGCTGTTTGCTGGGTCAGATCAATGTGAACAAAAGCTCTGGTGCCGGAGGAAGCCATGACCTTGGGCGTTCCTCAGCCTTGTCTGTGATCACGGGGCATCCATCCATCTCATGGCTCCTCAATGAGATTTACAGTCTGCACGTGGCCAAAGGACTTTCTCACACAGTGGCCCCGTGGTTGATCACTTTGAGGCAACTTCACTGAATGGCCCTATGATCCAAACACTAACTGCAGTAAGACACTAAAAATAAGGTGGACCGTTCTGTTTACTTTGCATTCCCTCCCTAGGGCCCTGCCACCCCAACCCCTTCCTTCCAGCTCCCTCCCACATGCTTACATGAGGAACGAAGAAGCAGAGTTCTGATAAAAAAAAAATGCCTTCACTTTGAAGTTCTCAAATCACAGCTCTTGCGGGTCTCGCAGAGGCCCATGAACACACCCAGGGCAAAAACATCTGCTAGTGCTATTGGTCCTATTATGCATGTGGCCTGCCAAGGTGGACACGGCCAACTACAGACACGTGCTGTCCCCTCAGAGCTCCGAGTGAGGCAACTGTCTCAAAGGGACAATGTTGACATCTCGGCCTGTCCGAAAATTTTGTACCCATCTCGTGTGTGCTTAGAGAAGGGAGAAGCCCCTTTCTCCCACTACTGTCTCCCTTCCATATCTTAGTGGATGGAATAAAAGACAGTGTTTGCCTCCGAGAGAGAGAAACGATGGTTGGTTACAATGAACACAGATGACTAATATTCCGGTGTTCAATTTTTATTTGAAAAAGCTGCCCAATGGCACAGCAAAGTGAAAGTGTCAAAAGACTGGTAATATTCAAATGACTAATAAAATATAAAGATTGTTGCCACTACCAACAACCCCAGAATCACCTAATTGCCAAAAGAAAATGTATTAATTCAAAAAAATGTAACTCCTCATCGCACTAAAGGGATACTTCCTTAAAAGAGGAATAGCCAATAGGCTCCCTCTACCTTAACAAATCTGATTGGTCGTGGCTGCTCAGCGCCCTGGGTTCAGAAGGATTCTGCGGCTCAGTGGGAAAGATCGTGGTCAATTAGCAATGACTGTCGTGGGTAAAAAGGGTGCAGTCGAGGCACACATCTGCATATTTTCTACCCCATCTTAAAGAGACATGCTACTGATTATTCTTTTTCATAATACACTTAGTAATTCTCATGGACCCAAACCATGGGAACCTCTCAGCACCCTCCCGCTCCTCAGCTTAGGGTGGCTTATAGAAGAGGTTCTAGCAAGCCAAGCACTGAACCTTTATCACCTCCCTCTCCCCGTCTCCCCTTCCTAGCTCCCCTACCCTACCTTCGATGTGACTCCAACGCAAACAGTACTAGGTCAAGGGCATCAGCAACATGGGAGGCCCTTCCCTTTGGTGGGAAATATTCAGATGCTACTTTGAGAGCTGCTCACACCCTGTCCTTATGGGAGGAAGAAAGAAGAGAAGTTTGCAATGGTCTTCTGGACCTTTAAGGCACCTCAGTGCAGCCTCTGCTGCCTCCTTGGGGCGCTGGCCTGCTCCACCTCCAGAGAAACCATGGAGAGTAAATGAGAACGTGGAAGTGGAATGGTCTGCAAACTGTAGCCTCGTGTGAATTATCTAGTTAGGTCATTTATCTTGCTTCTCATTTTAAAGCACAGCCAGTTCAGTCACCCAGTTACTGCTGCATCGGTGGGCTGCCTTCATTCAGCCCTGTGGCCCCCTCTCTCTTCTGCTGGGCTCACTTTTGGACCACTCAGTGTTCATTGGTACTGTGGGAAGTAAAAAACTCAATCCTACGAGCCTCCTCATTTGACTGTCAGGCTTACATTCAGCATTCCATTGAACCGATCAATTCTGTCCTACTTCAGATTTAATAACAACAGTTCATATTGGTTACGTTACTATCTGCTGGGCACTCTTTTAAGCAGCTTTGCATATATTAATTCCTTTGGTCCTCGTAATAACCCTATGGGGTAGGTACTATTATTATCTTTTCACAGATCAGACCTAGAGAGGCTGAGTGACTTCCCCAGAGTTAGAGGTTAAGGTCAGGGCGGGATTTGAACCCAGGCCATCGGACTGCAAACTTCATATGCCTAACCACCAGGCGACTCAAGAGATTCCCTTCTAGCTGTCAGGGCTGTTTGTAAAGCTGAAGATTTCAATGTTGTCTACCAGGTAATGCACCTTTTAAAAAATTCCACATGCAACGTTAATGTCTACATTTACGAGTATGTACAATCTGAAAGCATGCAGAGAACAGAAACAGCACTAGAATTTGCCTGGGATTCCAAAGGATGCCACACAGACATGTAACGAACGATCCAGCGTCCCTGCCCCGTCGCCATCCTTGTCTACGGCGAGGCGGCCTAAATTTAACTTCTGCGTGCAAACTTTGAACAGTCAACAAGACATATCAGAGACAGGAGTACGAACCGACCGGCGAGAACCCTGGAGTCCTTGCTTTTACTTCACCCACACGTCCTTATAAGGAAAAGGAGACAGACCAAGACATCCTGTCTGGTATATTTAAATTACCGCTGATAGTTATAATCATTAATTCGTATTTCAGTGAAATTTTTTCAGTTAAAGGAAGAAAGTCTCTGTGCTCACTCTGGACAAGAGTGATGGCATCTCCAGGGTCCCGCGGTCCACCGAGCTCGCTCCGAACGCCCTAGGATCATGTAAGGACGTCTGGGTTCCGCCCATCCAGATGGGATTGTGCTGGGAGGGGAGAGATGCCCACCCTTGAGGATTAAAGCTGTGCAGACTCAAGAGAGTATCGATTATTCGCAGGAAAGTGGTGTAAACTTGCTAAAGCCACTTAGTTGGCATTTAGCGTCTGCTGTCTCCTAGGTGGCATGCGTTCAGCGCAGTGGGTTAGATTAAGGTGTCCTTATAGAAGGGAAGAGGTGTCTGCCTTGGAGGGACAACCAACTCGGGCTTCGGTGCTTTCGGTAAATGCCCCGTAAGTTCTTTCCAGAGGATTCCTTGAAGCAGCGTCCCTCACGCTTTACTGTGCATATGATTTACCCGGGGATCAACCAAAAATGCTGATTTTGATCCAGCGGGTCTCAGGTAGGACCCGAGATTCTGCATTTCTAACAAGTTTCCAGACAACGGAGACACTGCTGGTCCCAGAACTACACCCTGAGTACTGAGACTCTAAAGCATTTGGGGAATTCGCCACTATTTATCATAATGATCCATAATGCCAGTGGTACCAAGAAACCTATGCTGGGATCCTGGTCCCTGTCTTCTTGGTACTGGGGAAAAGAGGCAGGTGGCAAGATGGCAAATGGGCAGGAGTAGAAGGTAAACTCTAACTTTGAGAGGCCACTGTACTTTCTGAAAAGAGACAAGGGTTTGAATGTTCATAATGTGAGCAAAGAATAAAAGCCATAATCAACTTAAATTGTCAACATCGATGCCCTTTATTAAAACCCACATGCACGCAGAAAACCTTTTCTTATCGGACTTTCTGACCCACAAGCAGCTTCCCACAGGTGGATTCCTTCTCTTCTTCCAGACTCCAGACCAGACAAGGAGAAGCAAGAACTGGACTTTCTCTGGGTCACAAAAGGTTTTCCTGCCCTTGGCTCTCAGCTGTCAGTGGCAAACTGACAGTATCAATCTTGCTCATGCCAGTGCGTCTGCTTCTCGAGAGGAAAAAACATGGAGTCTCGCAGCGACCCCGGGGAGGGGACCAGCGACAATCGGAGCGAAGAAACGTGGGGGACCATGGGCTCTAACTCCAGGTGGGGCCATCAAAGCAACAGCAACCGAACAGCACACAAAGTTGCCATAGCAACAGGTGCCTCGTGACCCTCATGTCCTAGTGCCAGTAAGAGGAGGGAGAGTTAGTACCCCAGGGAAATAAAGCGAAACGGTGAGAGAATCTGAAAGGTCAAATGAAGCCAGGGTTTGGGTCTGCAGCTCAGGGGAATGGTAAGCTGTCTTCTCTTCCCTCATGAACTGTGTTTGAACCAGGGGGACGTCTGTCAGTTGTCACTAAATAAAAGCTATGGAAACATGGAAGAAAACAAGGAACGGCACGATCGCCATTACTTAGATCCATAGCTACTCTTTTATTATCTGGCTCAATCGTGTGATGACGAGGAACTATCAATCCAGGGCCGCTTAAACAAGAAAATTGTAGGAATCTGGTGATTTTTTGATGCG